GAGCTAGCTGTCAGCACAGAGCCCAATACGGGGCTTGAACTCACGAATCACGTGATCATGATCTGAGCCGAAGTTGGATGCTTAACCAACTGAGCCACCCAGGCACCCCTTTAAGGATCCCTTCAAGTGATGCATCTGTATTAAGAATTAAGCAACTACATTACTAATTAAATGAATAGTTAAATATCAGTGAAGGGGTGGCTTTTTTGGGAGTTAGAGCCATGTATATCATTGCATATGCTTTTCTGCTCACAAGCATAGAGGATAGTGCAGTTGATGAAAAATGTTAACCTTAAGATATACACATATATATACACACACACATATATTTAAAAATGGTAAGTTGACAAACTAGGCCTGTAGGCTGCATGCTTTTTACATTTTTTAAAGGGTTGTAAAAAAAAAAAAAGAATATGCGTCAGAGACCATATGGCACACAAGGCCTAAACTATTTACTATCTGGCCCTTTATAGAAACTGTTTGCTGACCCTTGAACCACGTGGAAAGCACCAATAATAGATCTCACTCCTTTTTTCACTTTCCCCAAGAAGCACATTGTCTTCTTTCTTTGGCGATATTAATTTCCACTTGCAAAGCCAGTCTTCATAGCCATTCTAAAGAGAGAGGGAGAAACCGCCCCCAGCAGAGTCTGTACCCGGATCTGCCCCCAGCCAGCTCTCTTGAAACAGTGCCCAGTCACCCTTGGTCCTTGTTGGTGCTGTTGCTCTCACTCTGCAGACCACTCCTCAGCATCATTGCCATCCGCTAGTTTGCTGCAGGCCTTCTTTGACCTTGGCTTTTTGGCCAAATCATTATTCTGTTCTAATTGCACTTGCAGATCTGCTGTTACATCACCCTCTTTTTTGCCCACTTTCACCCACCAAGGCCCCTTTTCTGTGATACTTTGATCCACCTTCTCTCCCAGAGTCTCAGTACTTCAGAGGCCGAGGCCTTCCAAATCTAACATTTCTACCCTTACTTTTATGTGGCCCTGTCCAGCCCAGTTTGCTCACTGGTTACAAAGTGGGTCCAGTTCTGCCCCCTGCAGAAAGAACTTCTGGTGTCTTCCAGAACCAGACCAACGGAACCACTTTTGTGAGCAGTAGGGCTACTCTTTCTGGACACTTGTCGCACATCCCCTTGTTTGTGTTCACTTGGTTGTCCATATCACTTGGTTAATTTCCTTCCCACGGACCTTCTGGTCTCCTGTCTTCACCTCCAACTGCAGCAGGTTTCCATGTCTGTCACTTTGACCAGGCCACTCCAGTGGTCCCTAATGTCCTTGGGATCCAGCACACATATCTAACCAGAGCTATCACAGCGCTCAAACTTCTGGTACATCCCTTTCTACATTCTAATCCTGCTTGCTGAATCCTCCCCTCTTCTGCCTGTGATTGTCTCTACTCAACACACATTTATTGAATGCCGACTCCATTCCAGGTACCATGCTAGGCTCTGGGAATCAGAGATCACCAAAATGCAGCCTAGATAAGGGAAAGGTGATATGCACAAACATGAATATAGAGCAAAGCGCCAGGTGGTGGTTAACAAAGTTATTAAATATCATGAGAGCACAGAAAATATTTGGAACTAAACTGCATAACCACAAATATTCTGGACTATCTAATAAGAATATTATCAAACTAACAAATTATCCACTTAAATTTAATTTTTTTTTTAATGTTTTATTTATTTCTAGGAGAGAGAGAGACAGCGTGAGCAGGGGAGGGTCAGAGAGAGAGGGAGTCATAGACTGAAACAGGCTCCAGGCTCTGAGCTGGCAGTCAGCACAGAGCCCGACGCGGGGCTCGAACCCACGAACCGCGAGATCATGACCCAAGCGAAGGTCGGACGCTTAACCGACTAAGCCACCCAGGCGCCCCCACTTAAATTTAACTCTGAGGGTACCTGAGTGGCTCAGTTGCTTAGGCATCCAACTCTTGATTTCAGCTCAGGTCATGATCTCACAGTTGTGAGATCCAACCCTGACTTGGGCTCTGCGCTGGGTGCGGAGGGAGTCTCTCTATCTCTCCCTTTGCCCCTCCCCCACTTGTACGCACGCATGTGTGCACACACATGCTCTCTCTTTTTCAAAAAAAACTTTTTTGATTCAGTTTTTAGCCTTCCCCAAAATATATGGCTTAAGGAACAAACTTCTGGTAAGTTTTTCTGACTGATTTACTCCTTCTCTAACTTAAAATCTCATTTGCCTCCAGCCATGTCTGTAAACATTAAAGTTCTACAAATAAATGGAGTCTTTTGATTATAGTGTAAAAGACAACATCCTGCTTTGTAAACACTCCTGCTCCCTATTAGAAACTGAAATGAGTCCTCACTCTGTTCCCTGAATGCATGGAATGGTGGCTTAAACTGGTGGATGTCCACTCAGTCCAAGTGGACACACAGCTTTATTTACTGGGATAGGCTTTGAGACGTTGTCACTCAATTGCAAGACAGTCCTTTCTTTTTTTTTTTTTTTTTTTTAATTTTTAAAAATGTTTTATTTATTTCTGAGAGAGAGACACACACACACAGCGTGAGCAGAGGAGGGTCAGAGAAAGAAGGAGAGACAGAATCTGAAGCAGGCTCCAGGCTCTGAGCTGTCAGCACAGAGCCCAACGTGGGGCTCGAACCCACGAACTGTGAGATCATGACCTGAGCTGAAGTCAGACGCTTAACCGAGCCACCCAGGTGCCCCAAGACAGTCCTTTCAAATAACTGCATCTCAGCATCTTTCCCCTTTCATTTCCTTCTTTTTTCTCCTTCCGTGTACACCTCCTTTCCCCCAAGCCCTCTTTCAAGATGATTGCGTTGTATCCACTACATGCTGGGAAAAGCTAGCCAGGACACGCCTGTCTTGAGACACCTTAGGAGCACTGAGCTACGAGCAGGAGCTCTGGAGAGGTGGGCGTGATCACGGGCCTGCTCCAGTGTCACTCCTGCTGTCGCGCACCACACAGTTTTTGTGTTTTCATTCTTGACATATTTTCTGAGAGCCTTCTTTGTGCCACAAACACCATGCTAGGTTCTAGGGACCCAATATGGAGCCAAGGGGAACATTACTGCTGCCCTCATTGGGGGAAAGTAGCATCAATTACAAGTTTACATTAATAAATGTGTGATAATAAATTACTATCTTAGCTCTGATAATAGAGAGGAAGAGCTCGTGTAGGTGTTTGACCCCGTAACAGCTCTGTGATCTCTGGTCTCTGTATCATCCGTCTGCCTTCCTCCCTCCCACTATCTCTCTCCCTGCTCCCTACCTCTTCCTTCTTCATTAAATGGGGGTTGTTGAGGTGGAAAATTTTTCCTCTATATTTCAAAGGTTCTTCTAGCCAGTCTAAGAGTTAAATTGACACAAGACAGATTAAAGGAGAAAAATAAATTTAATTTCATACATACAAGAACTCCACATTCACGAGAGTTCTAAAAACAGAAAGGTAAAATGAGATATACATGCTATCCTGGGCTAAGGAAAAGGGTGGGCGTTGGGGGTTTCAAAGGAGAGGAGGTCAGTACAGAAGGCAATAAGAGCACACGTTTGGCAGTTAGATGCTTGTGTTGCTATGCGGTGGGTCACTCAGATAAATGTTATCCTTGGTAGTAACTCTTATTCTGGAAAAGATCCCCAATTTAAATTCTCCTAGGTAGTTAAGGGAGAGGCCACATTTTCTCTTGAGCCCACAGGGTTTCCATTGCCTTCAGCTCTAAATAATCCACATGCCCAAGAGGCACATCTGGGGAAGACTTCTTCTGAACCTCTTTAGGGTGAAGAATGGGGCCAGCGGCACTAAGCCCTGTCATCAATATGGTGCTCTGTACTCGTATTTTTTTCTCTTAGTTTTGGAATTCTGGATTCTCTGCAGTAGATGTTATAATCTCTTTTTAAATACTAATAATGGAGTAAGACATCATTGTTATTACTCACTGTAACTGGATGGATGAATAAAGGAAAGCTTGTATTGTGGGAATTTGGGGGTAGAAATATGCCACAGGCCCTAACTTGAAACAAACCATAGGATTTAGTGGCTGCTAACCTACCTAACTCAAGGACTCTGTATTTACATTTTTTTTTTTTTTTACAGCAGCAAGAGAAGAATCTCCCCCTTTCTCTGAAGAAGTCAGGACTAGATCTCAAAATCTGTGGTGTGTCCTCCCCAGTGCAAGCCCACCCACATGGCTGACAAACGATGGATTTCCCAAAATAGCTGCCACACACTTCGTTTCTGATCTCCGTATTTCTTGCTCCCAGAATTTCTACGTCTTCCCAGATACACCCAGTCGAGCTTTCTGAACTTTTGAGCAAACACCTTCCGGGTTCTTCAGCTTTCAGAAAAGCCCCTACGCATAGGCATAGGGGACAGAGGCCCGGGTGGAGGTGGAGCGCCCCAGCTCTGGGGACTCCTGCGCAGGAAGCCTGGCTCGCTGCGAAGCCGCCTGGCTCAGAGCGCCCACCAGCCCTCACCAGCCTGCAGCGAGCAAACGTGCTTCGCCGTCTTCCACCCCCCCCCCAACCCCCCCGCCCCAGCGGGCTGAATGAGGAGCAGCGCTATTTTTACCTCCCCGGCCGCAATCCTTTATATTTATTTGCAGGAAGGAAATAAATAAAGGATTAGGAAGGAAATGCTCGGCCTTAGTTTCTCCCGGAGAAGGAGGTTGGAATAGGAGTGGGGAGGATCTAAGATTTGGGGTGGTGGAAGAGGCAGGGAGATTTCTCTGGTTGATTGTTTCTCCCAAATCATCTTTGTTTCTGGCCTGGAAACCCCGGCTCGCTTCTTTCTTCCCCTCTGGCTGATCTCTGATTGCCAGCCTCCCCCCTCTCCTGCCCCCACCTCTGAAGATGCCACCGTCACCTCTGATGCTGCCTGGGATGCTGCATCACTCTGCTGCTTTTTTTTCCCTCTCCCTTTTCCCCCACGATAAAGCATGCGCAGTGCGTCCTGTGTCAGGCAGTAGCAACGGCATCAGTATCAGCATCAGCATCAGCATCAGGACCCGAAGGCGCGCTCGGGCGCGCTCTCGAGGGCGGGGCGCACGCCCGCGCCGCGCGTCCCCGCGCCGCTCGCGCTCACGCGCCGTCTCAGCGTCCTCAGCCCCAGCAGCAGCCCCCGCAGTTGCTGTAGCGGCCGCGCCCGCCGCAGGGAGGGAGGAGCATCTGGGGAGGCTCCAAGTTGGCGGAGCGACTAGGACCCCCGGACTCTTCAGCGGCCGCCCGGGAGGGGCTGAGAGGAGAGCCGGGGAGGGGGCGCCGCCCAGCCCCTAGTCCCGAGCCCCGAGCCCCGACCCCTGCCCGCGGCGGCACCATGCGCGCTGAGCCGGCGTGACCGGCTCCGCCCGCAGCCTCCCCGCAGCCTAGCCCGGCGCTGTCTGTCGCTGGCCACACCGAGCGGCGCCCGGGAGCTATGAGCCATGAAGCCGCCCGGCAGCAGCTCCTGGCGGCCGCGCCTGGCGGGCTACAGCCTTCGCCGAGCCTGCGGCGGCCCCCGCGGCGGCCCCGCCGGCCCGGCGCCTGCCCGCGCCCCGGCCCGCGCGCCGCCCTGCCGCCTGCTCCTCGTCCTTCTCCTGCTGCCTCCACTCGCCACCTCGTCCCGGCCCCGTGCCTGGGGGGCTGCTGCACCCAGCGGTGGGTATGGCCCCGGTGCCCTCTGCATTGCCTTGCTTGCGGGGCCCCGCAGAGGAAAGCGAAGGGCACGCGGGTCCGTGCGCTCCGGACACGTCCCGGGCTCGGCCTTTCCCAGCCACCCTGCCTGCCTGTCCACCTCTTTCCCAGACCCCTGTTCATTCCAATTCACTTTCTGAAGTCCATTTCTGTTGCATTCACTAAAAACCTATTCCAATGACTGTGGGTTTCACTGGAAGGTATTTAGTGGATGCGGGGTCCCTCAGCGATCTCTCTTAACTTGGCGGAGGGAGAAACCAGTGGACGGTAAATGCAGCGAGGGAGCAAGTTGCTTCTTGGGTGGAGAGCCTGAATGTGAATGCGGGAGGCTGTAATAATAATAGTGGTACTGTGTTGTTTCCTCAAATCGCCTACTGGGTTTATTCCCTGCTGTGGGACTTGAGATGGGGGAGGGAAACTTCGGAGATATAAACCTTTAGTTTGTAATTCTCAAAATGCTTGTCATTATAATGAGCAATTAAGATATATGATATTCAATACATTGATGATTGGAGATCAGTGGAAGCAGAAAGCTGGCCTTGGCAGGAAAAGAAAAGGAATTGGAAAGCTGCCAGGATCTGCTTCCCTCTATGGCAAAGAATTTTTGCTCGTCTCAAAGTTTAAAGAAAAAGGAATTGTCTATTTTGTTTAATGAATCAGTTAACGACCGGCGCCCATGAATTCCGCACTCAAGTTATCTGGGGGGCGTTCTTAGCTCTTAGATGGGATACTCCTAGTCAGAGTCCCATTGAGCTCATGTAGACTCAAGGGGTGGAGATGAGGGTCAGATCCTCCTCTGAGCATGTTCATTTAATGTCTTCCTTCAGATCCATTCCCCCTCCCTACCGCGACTCCCCATACTTAGAAGTATAGATTTGAGACTGATTAGAACACTAATTACAACACTAATAAAAACAAATAGTGCATTATTGTATAAACCTCGCCGGCTGTAAACCTATGCAGGCCATTTCATTGTTGGATAACTTGCTTTGCTGTGCCTCTACTTCTTACCTGCTTATAAATAGAAAACTTTGTTTTTGCACTTAATGGAAAAACACATTGTAGTACTTATGTATTTATTGGGTGTATGTGTGTATTTGTGTATCTTTGTGCACCACCCCCCACCCCAGCTCCGCACTGGAATGAAACTGCAGAAAAAAATTTGGGAGTCCTGGCAGATGAAGAGAACACGGTGCAACAGAATAGCAGCAGTAATGCCAGTTACGGTAATGCAATGCAGAAAGAAATCACACTGCCTTCAAGACTCATATATTACATCAACCAGGACTCGGAAAGCCCTTATCATGTTCTTGACACAAAGACAAGACACCAGCAAAAGCATAACAAGGTAGGCATGGGTCTGGGTATGTCAAAGTAGCTGCCAAGGGGAGTTGGCCTTTGATTTGATTTTCTGCCAGAATCTGATTTCACAAATTTTACTGCAGCATTTTATTAGGAAATCGATTAATATTATGATAGAGGAGAGACTGGAGGAAGTCAACCTGGGATCTACTGGGATAGGATTGCTGTTTTTTTTTTTTTCCCCTCTGACTCTAATGTGGAATTCGAATTTCTTATGGCTTTTTAAATCCCATAGCTGAAATGTGGTCCATGTTTCTTTCAGTTGCATTGGACACTGAACGGTAGTTGAGTGAGTACGTTTATGGTCCTGACTTATATCTGTGAGGCTTTATATAAGGGTGCAGTGTTTCACGTCCCATGATGAAAACTCCTTTCAGTCTGCGCACAGAAGGTTGCTGTGAGGCTATTTGCAGAGTCCCTATCAGTCTTTCACTTAGAAATTGAGTGATTAAACTTAATTTTAAATTTCTTTAATTGATCATAGGAAAGAATACTTTTTTCATGATATATTTTCAGTAGGTAAACAATTTTGACATTTTAAAAGATTGTGGCGAATCTATACAGACTATTTATGTAATATAGAGACCAGCGTTGGCCAGCATAGTCCTTCAGGGCTCCATCTGCAATCGTCAGTTGTTGCTTTACTTTACAGTTGGTTCAGAAAGTAGCACTGGTTTTTAAAAAGGCATTCAGCAGAAGACAAAGGGGCTTAATGTCCAAAGAGTTTGAAGGATCTTTTTTTCTTGCTTACTGCTCTTTATTTGAGTTAGTAATATTTTGGGTGCCAAGCAGATTTATACAGTGGGTTGGTCATCAGTGTTCTTTATCAGGAGCAGAGAATAGAGAGTTTGTATGTCAGATATTTTACTTCGGACTCTACCTGTTCAATTGAGAAAAGCAGTAACTGTCTAACATCTAATTTAGATGTTTCTAATTTAAGAAAAGTATCTGTGGTTCACATCATTGTTTTTATTAGTTTTCTAAAATATAGATAAGTGGTAATGGTTTTTATTCCTATTTTACAAATGAGGAGTTAGAAATTCAAGGCTTTTGGTTGACTTTCCAAAGATTATGAGACTGCTAATATAAACCTCAAGAGGCCCGAACATGTCCTTTTTATTATTTTTTACGAGTCAGGTTTCTGAGCAAATGCTTCCTTTTTCTTGAGTTGAAAATTCCTTGAGTTGAATATTATTGGAGCAGTTAATTTCACAGTATTGTGAAGCGGCTGTTACCCACCTTGGCTGAGATGAAGAAGACTCTGTTCTCACAGCCCTGTGACCTCTGCTCCTATGTAACTTAATGGGTCAACTCCTGGATTCTGTCTGCCCATTTGTCTTGTTGACAGGAACAGTAGATGGTGACTTTAAGGAAGAAGAATCCAAGAACTTCTTGATAAATGCATTGAGATGCATTTTATGGCTTTCCTAATTAATGAAACCTTCTAAGGTTCAGTGGCAGGTCCTTGAATGCCAGTGCCTTTGCATATGGTATTGAAGGAATAACACACACACACACACACACACACACACACACACAATCTTGCCTTAAAGCGTATTTCAAAGAATGTTCAATGCCTCCTGAGCCGAGACTTTAAAAAATTTCAGAGGAATATTTTATAACTCAAGTTTTGAAGGCTATGACTGACGCCTGTCTTCTGGTCTAATGTTATGTGGTTGCTTCATTGGGTGGGACATGGTTTGACTCCTCTATATCTGAATTTTTTATGATAAATTGGTTTGTTGAACCTTGTCCTGACACTCCGGTAGATTTCTCACCATGGAACACATGCTTGCCGTTGGAATGATACTTTTCCTTTTCCGCCCCCAATCGTGGTGGTGGTCGTGGGGTTCTTTTATCTTAGAAAAAAAGTGCTTACACAGAAATTATATTTGGAAGCATTTTTCTCCTTTTCTTACTAGTTTAATTCTAACACACCTTTGTTGCACATTTCTCCTCTGCAAAGGCGTATGCTAAAGGCTCGGAGATAAGAGGTAAGGGGTTCACAGATGAGCAAGACGGGGTTGGGCCTCCAGGAGACACAAAAATGAGATAAACAGGATTCTAAAAAGTGCCCCCACACAGGTATAAATGGTGTCTTGTGTTGTGGAGTCCCTTTGGGTTCAGTGATTTCCCTTTTATTTGGGTTTTTAAGCATTTCTTGAACTAGGTGACAAAAAGTGCTCCAAAGGTTTCCTGCTGTATCTTCAGATGACTTGCCTAATAATAGTAATGAGAGAGACTTGTCAGTTCAGCTGCTTTACAAATGTTTCAGTAAGAGAGATTCTATAGCATTTCATCATCTTTGCTTTTATAAAAGAAGTTTTGATTTTAATATGTGTATTATGTGCCTTTTTTTCTTCTCCTGATTTCATGACACTCAAGCACATTTTAATGAATGCCTTAGAAATGCTGAATCACTGTGCTGTTCTTCTCATGGATCCTTGGATTAGGGGTAGAGGTGGACAGGGAAGTTCCCAGATATAGGTTGCAAGGCAGAACTTTGTATTTATTTCAAAAATATTGAGTGTTAATCAGTTCTTATTACTTTACAACTGCGCAAGTGAAAATGTTATTAACTCTTTCACAATTCACGAGTTTAAAAATAGATTATGCAAAGCACCCCTGTAATAGCAGTATTTCTGAAAACCTTAAAGTTCTCTTTGTCAGAAATTATTTAGGAATCTTTTTGTCTTCAGATAGGGTGATGTGTAACTTATTGTCCAAACTGTGCCATTTCTGAGAGTCACAGTGAGCATGCTTAGTAATCATGCTAGGATAATAGACATAAACCAAGATGGTCCAGAGCAAATGGGGAATGTGGTCACCTTGGATTGAAATGGTTATATTCCTTGAGTTTTGGTGCTTACCCCAATTCAAGTTTCTTTGTAGACAGTTTTATTTTCCTATGAATTAGTGTAAATTTTTTCTTACTTACTAGGAAGTCAGTTTACCGCCTTATAGAAGTTTCAGGGTCTGAAATGGAAAAATTTAGTTTTGCTTTGTTACCAAGACTTGCCTTTTTTATGGCTTAATGTTTATTTATTTTTGAGAGAGAGAGAGAGCAAGCACACGTGTGCAAGTAGGGGAGGGGCAGAGAGAGGTGGGGTACAGAGGATCTGAGGCCAGCTCTGTGCTGACAGCAGAAAGCCTGAAGGGCGGGTAAAGAAAGCCTGAAGGGTGGGCAGACTGCGAGATCATGACCTGAGCCGCAGTTGGTCGCTTAACTGACTGAGTCACCCAGGTGCCCCAAGACTTTTACAAGCAAAAATGGATGATTACTAAATGTAAGCATTTTATGAACCACTAATGCAATATGTTAATAAAATGGACCATACATTTAAAAAGAGGGAGAAATGATTTAGATTCATTCATTCATTCATCATTCATTCATCATTTTGAGATAATCCTATGAGGTCTATTCCTAAGAAAGTTAATGAACCTATAGAGGAGGAAAAATAAATTTCCCTTTACCCTTCTAAGTTCTTGGTTGAGCCACACCCTGCGATAAAGACAGCCTAATAGGGAGAAAACAAACAGAAGTTTTATAACATGTGTACCGCCTGTATGCGTGGGGGAGACCCAGGAAAACTGAGTAAGTCTCCAGAATGGCCCAAGTCACTACCTCAGATAATATCCTCAGCTAGAGGCAAAAGAAGATTTTGGGGATGGGTGAGCATCCAGTTGTGGGAAGCTATCAGGAAAAGCACAGTAAACAATGGTAAGATAAGACTCTGCTTTCTCCATTGATGAGAGTTTCTAGATATGTAGAATCATTGACTTCCTGATACTGAGAGAGAGAGAGAGATTTCTTATAAATGGAGATTTCTTTTAAAATGTAAACCACTCTTATAGAAGGGTAACTTGTGCTCTGGTTTTCAGCCTAAAACAGTTCTTCTGTCAAAGAAGTATATTTAGGATGGTATATTCTCTACCTTTCAGACCTTTTCTCGAAACTTTCCTTTAGTCAAAAATTACTTGCCTTGTATCCTGCTCCCTTGGGATTCTTTTCTCTTTCTGTTGGGAAGAGATAGAAGAAGTACACTATGAATAGCATAGGGTCTAGGGAAAACAAATGTCACCTCCTTTGACTTTGGTTGGCCTGCATGCAGCTCAATCTTTTGTTACCTTCCCTACTGTGGTGGGGACCAGGAGCTGGTGTATGGAATTAAGAATATGCAGAATGAGGGGCCACAAGCCACCCACACAGAGGTCGACGGGTAGCTCCCTGAGCACCTGAGTGGTCCTCCATCCCAAGTCACGGGTGAGCAGGACACAGACAGCAGAGTAGCAAGCACCTGTTACTTATGAAGTGGTTGGGGCTGAGGTCACTAAGTTTTCAAGGGTTTAACTCCTAAATGGTTATTTTTTTAATTTTTTAAAATGTCTATTTATTTGAGCATGGGAGGGGAGAGAGACAGAGAGATACCATCCCAAGCAGGCTCAGTGCAGAGCCCTATGCGGGACTAAGTCCCATGAACTGTGAGATCATGATCTGAGCTGAAACCCAGAGTTGGACGTTTAACCTAATGAGCTACCCAGGCGCCCCCTAAGTGGTTATTTTAAAGGTGCCCTGGGAAAACTAAAGCGGCAACTGAGAGTGGGAATCCTAAACTCAAGTTCTTATCTACATGTCCAGACTCTGGGTGTGAGTAGGGTTATCGTGCTGTAAATTTTCTTTAGGAAAAATTTTAGGCACTGTCAGGATGGTGGAAATATTAAAAGCCACTGGCAGAATTTTGGTCACCTAGCACATGAAACATTTGAACAAAGCAAAAATGCCGGTCAGCTGTATCTGTAGACAAATGACTATTTGAGATCCTGTCTGTAACCATACCCGTCTTTTGTTGAGATCCAGCCAAGAAAATAAAGCTCTTGGGTACGGCTGAGGTAGTTGTTTGGTAAAAAATTTGCATGAGGTTATGAAATACTTGTACCTGATGGGCCACCTTCTATAAGTTTCTCAGAATTTGTCTAGAGTTACTA